CAAAACTGGCCCCAGGACCAACTCCCAGGGCAACCCACTTAATACTGGCTGCTAGGGGTGTCCAAAACGGACCCTATATGATTCGGATTCGGCCCAAATCGGGGGCATCGCAGCATTCATGAGCCACCTGCTACCTAGAGGTATGTAGAAAAAACATTTAAAGCTGTGTCTATGTCTGAATCACCAAATCTTTCCAAATCTCTCCTAATTGATTCTGAGGGTTCCAATTTGATTCAGAGAGATTAAGGGATCCTCTGATTTGATTTGGATTCAGAGCTTCAGCCACCAAATCGGGCTGAATCTCCACCGAATCAAATCAGGGACTGAAGCTTCGCACAGCCTTACTGGCTGCCAATTAGACATTGATCCATTGATTACTATCTTTTGGCCATGTCTATACAAGACGTTGACTGTGCAGTAGCTCAGTACCACTGCACAGCAGGTCGTCACCACTGCGCAGCTGCTTCATATGGCACTCCTTCTGGAAGAGTAAACAAGAAGGAGAACACCAGCTTTACAGAGTTGGTTTGCCATCCAGAATAAACTCATAAACAAACTCAATGAGTTGCCCATTAGTGCCTTAAAAGAAGCGCTTGGATTCTCTACCAGGAAACATCAAAACTAATACAAGATGAGAATGATCAGGAGATCCAACAGTTGATTGATTGAAAGCACAAGGCCTTTTGTGCTTGGCAGCAACACCAACTCCAAGCAAAAGAAACTGAATCTCTAGTCAGAAGTCCAAAGGAAGACCCACAATATGAAGAACAGATGGTGGAAAGACAAGGCAAGGGAAATCATCATCTCACACAATATGCACGCTTTTTTCAATTCCACCAAAGACATCTACAGTCTCAGCACTCAGGGACCAACACCCTTGAGACATAAGGATGGAGGAGAACTGATCAAGTAAAGGGATCAACGCTCATCAGAAAGAACAATTTGAAGACCTTCTCAAATTGAGATTCTGTTGTTGATGAGAGTGTTCCATCCCACAACATCCAGTTAGAGATGATCTCAGAATCCCTTCAACCCTTGACAAGGTATGAAGAATGACAAGGCACCTGGAGCTGATGGAATCACCGCCAAAATCTTCAAGCAGGAGAAGAGGAACTCACATCACAGCACCATGCCTTCATCTTACGGACTCAGAATGAGGAAATCCCAGATGACCTCAGGAATCCCATGATTGTGGCAATCTTCAAGAAAGGAGACAAGCCCAGCTATGGAAGTTACACAGGGACCACCTTGCTGTCCACCACAGAGAAGATCATTGCAAGAACCCTCCTGAACAACTTTCCTTCCACTTGCCGAAGAGCTCCTCCTGGAATCTCAATGTGTGTTTATAGTATCAAGAGGCACAACTGACATGATCTTTGCTGCTCGCCAGCTTCAGGAAAAAAAATGCCAGGAACAACATAAACCTCTCTATATGGCCTTCTTTGACCTCATGAAAGTCTTTGACTTGGACAACTGAGACATGCTGTGGAAGATCCTTCAGAAATTCATCAACTTACTTTGCCTGCTCCCTGATGGTAGGCAAGTGGTAGTTCTCAATAATGAATCCATCACAGATCCTTTTGAGGTTAAGATGGGAGTTAAGCAAGGCTGAGTCATCGCTCCAACACTCTTCTCAATATTCTGTCCTGTAATGCTACATCTGACCATAAATAAGCTTCCAGTTGGAGTGGAGATAAACTACCAAATGGATGGCAAACTGTTTAATCTCAGCTGACTGAACAAAAACCAAGACCACTCTGACTACAATCATCAAGCTCCAGTATGCTGATGATGCTGTAGCCAGTGCTCACTTGGAAGCAGACCTTCAGGCAATAGTCAACATTGGTCCTCCACCAACAAGCTCCTAACAAACAGTCCCCAGCTCCAGTAATGCAGATCCAAGTTGAGACTCTGGAGAACGTTAAGTATTTCCCATATCTTGGAAGCCATCTCTTGCAGAAGGCTGACATCAACAAAATCCAGCATCACCTCAATTGTGCAAGCGCAGCCTTTGGATGCCTGAGGAAATTAGATGGTTTTCAAAGATTGTGACATCAGATATGAAGCCAAGCTCATGGTTTATCAAGCAGTTGTGATCCCCATCTTACTATATGGAGCCGAGACATGAACAACGTATAGGAGATACCTAAAGTCATTGGAGAAGTACCATCAATGCTGCCTGTGAAAGATCTCTTGAATCCAGTGGGAAGATAGATGCACTAACATTAATTAATTAACATTAAGATGCAAGCAAACTCCATGAGCATCAAGATGATGATTATCCAACATTAATATCGCTGGGCCAGCCGCATCATCCAGACATCCAACTCGAGACTCTCAAATCAAGTTTTATTCTCTCAACTTAGTCAAGGTGTACTCTGAAGAGGGGGGCAGAGAAAGCGCTCCAAGGATGTCCTTCAGGCCAAATTGAAAAAAATGCAACATCAATAACTCATGGGAGACTATCGCTCAGGGCCGTCCCAAATGGAGGAAGAGTCTGCTGCAAGGATCTCAGTACTTTGAAGCCTTATGACAACAGAAGATGAAAATATGGGAGCGGCTGACCCAGTGTCATGGACCGAATCAAGAATCCAGAGCCACCTACTCTACATGGAAACAGGTTCCCGAGTTGCATTCGAGTCTGCCAGTCCTGGATTGGCTTTGTCAGCTATCTTCAGATCTACAGATGGGATAACCATGGAACAAAATCATCCTTGACTGTGAGACCTACAGATGGGACAATCATGGAAGAAAATCATCCTCGACTGCAAGGGAATGCCAAACGTTTCATAGACAGCTCTAACATCCACGCAAAAGTAGTTTAGGATCACTTCTCATGTGTTTAGGTAACTATTATTGGTTCCCACCCTTCAATTAACCACAGTCAGCAGATCCCCTCTGTTCCTTCGGTCTATTTCCATAGTAACGGATAGATCTTCTCCTTTGATTGGAAGCTTCTCAATGATAAGCAATGTATGGTATGACAAGACGTAGCCTCTGCCATCTACAGCTAATCAGTAGCTTCTACCCACTTAACCTAATCTCTGCAGCAGAGCTGGGGCAGAGCTGGGTCACTTCTCCTGGTCCTTGCCTCATTCTGAGCCATATTCATCTATACTAGGAAAGATATGGGTAATACCTGAATAAGAAAATAGAGCAAGTTTACCTTAATGAAATACTCAAAATGCTAAATGGAAAAGAAAAGCCAACAGACCAGCCCTTGGCAATACCATAAAGGATGAATGAATGCTCCTGAGCGGAGAAAGGTTGCTGTACGTTGAAGCACTGCAAACATATATAAGCACGTAAGAAAAAATACAATATCCAGACAACCTATTAAATATTCAATAACCTTGCATTACACAAACATTACAGAAAATAAGCATTTTATTATTCAGTTACATTTTAAATGTGGCAACATTTCTGAAGTAATATATTTGAAAGAAAAAATCTCTCAAAATGTGTGCACAAAACTATAATCATGTAAACAATCTTAAAAGAGGCAAGGCAAGGCAATTAAATAAAGGTAAGTGGTCTGAATTAATTACTAACATTGATGTGTGCTTGAACTGTGCTCTCATTTGGCATAAAGTCTCACAAATTCCTCCTTGACCCACTCACTAAGAGGTAGTTTATTATTTCATAAAAGGTATTTTTAGGCCCACACAAAAATACAAGACTGATTTGAGCAAGTGGAGCAAGGAAGAGCTGAAAAAACTCCCAAACACTTAACAGGAACATGTGCATCAGGAAAAAGCAAATGTGATATTAGTGCACTTATATTTAACAGTAAAAACAAGTTATTTCAACATGGTTTGTATTCCCTTTCCCAAACATAATTCAGTACCAAAGCTTAACGGATGTAGCATAAATGTATGTAACCAGTGAAAGGAACAATTCTGGCTGGAAATAGGCCAGAGAATTTAACAGTTCTTTTCTGTTAAATATAATTCAATACTGGTATTTCTTTTGTAAAATATATTGATACATGAAGCCTTAATGCTTAAAAACTTCTAAATGTGCCAAGTGTCTTTCTAAATTTGCTATGGGTGACCATTTCTGACAAGACAAACAAGAGAAAAATATCTAAAGAAGATTTCACTCATTCACTCACTCAAAGCTCCCCAAGTGACACTGTGTAAGCAACACTAGAAATGGTTTCAGAGATAAAAAGCAAACCACATTTAAACAGTAATGGACTGTCTCAAACTGACAAACCTATAAGATTAAAAGAGGGATCATAACCTCTGCAAACTTTTGTTTGTTAGTCAATGTCCTCTCTCTCGCACACAGTGTACCAAGAGATAGCTCAGGCCCCTTTAAGAGCATATACCAAAGTATGTAAGCGAACGTCAAATTATCTGCCTTTTGTCCATTTATGGCACAGTCCTTAACTTTAAATTTGTTTTTTTCGAATCCTTTTTCCCTTCTGTCAAAGAAAATGTTACCGAAATGAAAAGGGCATTCCTGTATTAATAAATGTCAGCTAACCAGTAAAAAAAAGTAAATAAATAAAAGGGAAAGTTACCCCAAACTCTCTCTTTAATATGAAATAGACTGTCTTGAACTGTCTGTATAGTATATCTGCTCCACATAAAGGTAAAATTATTAGAAAACAAATTGAAAGTCTAGAAAAAAGAAACCAAAAGAAACAAAGTACATTACTGAGGGAAAAGTAATATGCAGCATTCATTTGAAAACAACAAAAGCCAGACTCCCAGGTACAACATCTCACATATACTTATCCTCTGTGTTCCAAGAAAAGGAAAAGTCCAACACTTAGTCTTTTTTTAAAAGCCATATTCAAGATAACAAGAATGAAACCAGGAAGTAGTTTAGACTATTTTAAATTGGCAATATTTACCTATACTCGAAGTAGTTCAATAACCATGTTTGGTAAACACAGTATTCAAATCCTTTACAGCCTGAAAAGAGGAAGTGGAGACAAACTTCCTAACAAAATAATTTGTAACAATAGGGAAACCTGGGCAGAATTTTACCTTTGTGTTCGACGGAGCCTGTTTCCATTCCTCAAATGAGGCAGCGTAAAGTTTGAGAGGACAATCCAAAAATTTGGATCAGACGTATCCATTTCCCTATCTTCAATTCACTAAAAGTTCAAGACCATAACACAAGACAAAATCCCCAATTAACTTATCATTCCACAAAAGAATAAGAAGGTAATAATAACTATGATCAACAACAACTTTTTAACGAAGCTGCTAAACAGGGTCCTCTACTTAGCATACATCTGCTTCCCCAAAGTTTAGCAAACTTGTTTTATTTTTGACCTAACTTCTCTAACACAGGCACTGCCAGGCTACAAACAATAATTACAATAGTTCAGGCCCGTCTTCTGCTGAAAATGCTGTCTCTGTATGTGTGATTCAGCCCAAGGTACTTTGTCATGTTTGGCAGATACCATTTAGACTTATCCAGAGGGGGAGTGGGAACATTTTTACTTTAAATCTCTCTCTCATTTATATTCTTTTTCTTATTGCTTGTCTCAATTGCAAACATAATTATCAATAATACATTTATTCCTATTTTCACTTTCATAACAGAAAATTTAAAATAGAAATATGCTGTTCGTTCCACCCCCCCAAGTCATTTGAGAAATAAGCTCATCTTTCAGAGTCTTTTCCAGGACTTAAACCTGTCACCTTTGATCTCATCTCCCTTCTTATCAAGGGGCTGAGGATGAAATTGGAGGCTCCTGTACAACAGAAGAGAAAAGGACTGTTCATTCTTTAATCTTGCCATCACTCTTAAACATTTTGTACAGCCCTGAGAAAGCAGTGATTATAAAGAGCAAGCTTTTCAATGCTGCTTTATGGAGAAACACAGCATGCAGCAACTTGCTCAACTCTTCTGGTAGCAGCAGCAAATTATCAACACGAATGCTTCCTCCCAAAATATCACCCCACACATGCACACCTATTTTTTTTAAAATTAGTTTAAAATACTTGTAGGTACCTGGCAAAAGAGATTAATCACAGTTACAAGATGAGTATGTCTCATTACAAACTTAAAAGTGTGGGACTCCTGAGCATAGGTCAGTAGCAAGCTATTCAGCCAGGTTTCATAATCAAGAGCTGTTAATTAGCTGTCGCTGGCTCCCTTTATAGTAAAATGACACACAAAATAAAACCCAAGTGCTTTCTACCGTAGATCTATGACAGCCATAGTGAGTGACATTTAGGAGTTTGCATTCAGCCCAACTAGAACTGACATTACAGCTTTTGCTATTTTTGGTCTGGCTCCCTGTCACCATGTAGACCATTGCTGCCTAACTAGTAGCCGGTGGGCTGCATGCAACCCATGAGGGATTAAAAATTGTAGCCCCAGGTGCCTGCCTAGCTGCCACAACTCTCATTACTCCAACTACAACAGTAGATGGAGTCTCTGTGCTCTCCCTCCCTCCTCTACCTTTTGCTGCCTGCCTCCAACCCCGTGGGGCAGGGAAGCCCAGTGTGGTGTGGCCAGTGGAGTTGAGGGTGAGCCTGGAGCCCACCTTGGTGTGGCCTATGGGTGTACGGCCCCTGCTGGTGCAACCTACAGGGCATTTGGTCCCCTGCCACTTAGAAGCTGGATAGCCCTGATGTAGACTTCAGTGGACATCATACTGTGGGGAACTGAGACGCTTGCAAAAGGGGCAGATGAGGGGAGGACCATATGGTGCAGCCTCCAATCCTTTATTATTTACCCTCTCCTCTTTCAGTATGAGCAGCAGATGTTACAGAACAGGGTGATACAAACTAATTTCTAGGATATTATTATTTAGCCTTTGCACAAGCAGTACAAGGGAAAAGTATTCAAAATACTAAGCATGAAGGAGGGAAATAAACAAAGTTAAGACAGTAAAGTTAATAGTGGGGGTTGGTGTGGATCGCACACTATTTATAGCCTAGAAGGCTTTCATGTTCACTGAAATGCCAGCACAGAAAAGATGCGGCTCAGTCTTCCACAGGATGTATGCTACAGAATAAGCTAGCTGGCCTGCCCAAACATCCATGTGCATTGCCATCAACAGAGACACAAAACTGGCAACAAAGTAGGTCACAGATCTAAATGCTAAGGTCAGTTCTGCTTAGTAAAGATTTCCAGCCTGCCCTGAGGGTGGGACTGAGCTGGCTGTTGTTGACTCAGCCAGCTGTTGTGCCACAGCACCTGCTATTACTGCAGCTGCCAGTGCCAGAGCCAACTCCCTCTCGCACCATTCTCCACTATTCACTAGAAGCACACCTACCACACATTTCTCACACACCCATTAGGAAGGCCACTCCAGCAGTACTGCAGCCTGGAGTGGGAGTTATACAGCTCATTATCTATTCTCTCACCAGCTTCAGAATGGAATGAAATTGGTACTGGATGGCAAGGGGCAGGGGGAAGGAGTTGCAGCTCTTCCCAAATTCCTTCTGCTACCCTTATTGAGGGGAAACTGACTCCCCTGTAGCTCAAATCCCTCCTGTTTACAAGCTAACACAGAGGAGATGAGAGGTTCTGCTTAACTAAGCAGCTCTATGGGATGGACAATAGAAAAGTCCTGGGGTCAAAAGAATCATGGTGACTGAAGTACTCTGTTTAAACTTATAGGTTAGGGACAGAAGTTACACATAAACTGGTATATGCGATCAGAAACTAGTTCAAATCTGTAACACAAGTTCAGTGCACATAACCCTCTGCAGGAATACGTATGCATTTCCAAAATCAAAAGTGAATGTCTGTTTGTCTGCTTATTGGCCCAATGTACTCAGCTTAGACTAACCTGTGAAGATTGAATCAATTCAGTCTCAGGCTTTTTGACTGTCTGTACTTGGCCAAAGAGAAGTTTCTGATACTCTACTGGATACTCAAAAGGACACGTGCAAAGTCCTACATTTAGGATGGAACAATCCCATGCACCAGTCCAGGCTTGGGGGTGATTGGCTGGGCAGCAGTTCTGCAGAAAAGGAGTTGAGGGTTACAGTGGACAATAAACTAAATGAGTCAACAGTGTGCCCTTGTTGCCAAGGAGGCTAATAGCCTACTGGGCTACACTGGTGTTGCCAGCAGGTTAACGGAAGTGGTTATTCTCCTTTATTCAGCACTGGTGAGGCTACATCTGAGTACTGTGTTCAGTTTTGGGCCCCCCACTACAGAAAGGATGTGAACAAATTGGAGAGAGTCCAGTGGAGGGCAACAAAAATGGCGAGAGGGCTAGGAGACATGACTTATGAGGACAGGCTGAGGGAACTGGGATTATTTCGTTTGGAGAAGGGAAGACTGAGAGGGGAGTTAAAAGCAGCCTTCAACTACCTGAAAGGAGGCTCAAAAGAGGATGGAGTTAAACTGTTCTCAGTGGTGGCAGATGACAGAACAAGGAGCAATGGTCTTAAATTGCAGCGAGAGAAGTTTAAGTTAGACATTGGAAAGAGTTTTCTCACTAGGAGGGTAATAAAACACTGGAACAGGTTACCCAGAGAGGCTGTGGACTCTCCATCCTTGGAGGTTTTTAAGACCCAGCTAGACAAAGCATTAACTGGGGTGATTTAGTTGGGATGGGCCTGCTTTAGGCAGGGCATTGGACTAGATGACCTCCTGAAATCCCTTCCAACCGTAATTTTCTATTAGTCTATGATAGAGTTTACCCTGTCAGCAAGTCCCTTTCCTGAATCTCCTTATCTATATCATAGAGGAAATTTTGTTGTCCGAGTAACAAGCGTAGCTCAGTTTCCATGACCTAAACCAGGGCTGGCCAACTGGTAGCCCCTAAGGGGCAGCATATGGCTCACAGACAGCACGCTGCTCTTGAGCATTTTAGCATGCAGTCTGCAGGCTCAAGCCACTGCCTCTCCTGCCACTATGCAGTGGAGGGATGGCATAGGGGGTCTGCACACCACCAATGCAGCCTGCACACCAGGAAGGATTGGGTGGGGGAGGTCTGCCCCCAGTGAATGTGGCCTGTGTGGGCACATGGCACAGAGGGTCACATGTTGGCGCTGTCTGCAGCCCCCAGCCACACCAAAGTTGGACAGCCCTAACCTAAGCAATTCTTGGGCTCTCTCTTTGGTCTCCTAATTTGTGTAGGTATACCAGTAAGTCTGTTGCATGGGACAGGAACTGAGGTCCATCAAACTAATCTTACATAAAGGACTATAAAATAGTAACTTTAAAGTAGAAACATTTACTGACTAAGGATTTGGGCTGTATACCAGTCCTCATTGTGACCTACATGTGAAAGGCTCTGCAGCTTATCAAAAATGCTTTAAACGTCCCAGTATGTAAACACCCAAGAATGAGCCAGGCAGCACCTATGGCTCTATGGACAAATAGCAACCTTAGTGAAAGCAAACAACACTTGCATGCCTTACGGGAATAAGGATACGTCTTGATGGAATAAGGAACCATTTCCATGTGCAGCTGCCAAGAACACTGGCCCTTCTCCCATTGTACAGCTCTAGTTATTAGGATCCACACATTCAGAGTCAGCTGGTTGGACTTTCACAATTGCAGAGAAGAATCAAGACAACAGCTGGGCAACAGCTCCAGCCCATCAGTATAGCAACATAGGCTACCATGAGCAAACATACCAGAATTGCACACTTCACTGGTTTCTACCAAATACAGTCCAATTCAAAGTCTCTGTCCCAATGTTCAAAACCATCAGTTATTTTGGTGTTTTGCACTCATAAGTAACCCTCTTTCAGAGCACAATACATTTTGTATTCAAACTTAACTTTCACTTAGTAAGCCCCTCTCCTCCTCAAACTAATCAAGTTGTTTCTCCCACAGGATAGAAAATAAGGAAGATGAATTTTTATTCCTTTTTTTTTTACTGCTTAAGGAACATTTTGATATTATGAATCTGAGAACTTAGATACATGCAAATAAATACATGGGGTGATGACAAGTGCAATAGAGTCCAAAGCTATAGCTTTCAATGCTTAAATAAGATACTAAAAATGGAAAGTTATGAGGTCCCCAATACTCAGACTAGACACAGTAAGTTTAAAGGTGAGAACTTCAGTATAATGCCTTACCAATATATACATGTCAACCATTATTTGGAGGAGTCACTTTTGAAGTTCATCTACAACAGAAAAGGACATCATTGGGTAAGCTGCAGTCCTGCAGAAATGTACCTGGTATTACAGTTGACCATAAACGAAATATGAGCCAAGAGTGCTCCCCTGTTGCAAAAAACCCCAATAGCATATGCTAGACTGTATTAATAGGACTATCACTTGCAAGTCAAGGAAAGTGATCCTGCTCTATCTGACACTGGTGAGGGCTCATCTGGAGTAATGTGTCCTGCTTTGGGCTCTGAATAGATTAGAAAAGGTCTGGTGGAGAGAAAGAAAAAATTATTAGAGGCCTGGGAAACATGACTTATGAGGAAAGGAACTATTTAATTTGGGAAAGAGAAGACTAACTGGGGATTTGACAACAATTTTCAAATACCCGAAGGATGGTTATAAGTAGAATGGATATAGATGATTCTCTGTGGCCCTAAGGGACATGACTAGGAGCAAAGGTTTCAAATGTCGCTGG